ACTCTTCTAGACCTCAGCAGATGGGATGGAGGTAACTTGCTGCTAAGTACTGAGCTGAGGGTGGGATGTAATTTGCTGCTTTGAGGTCTTGCATGAGGAGAGTGCTCACTTGTATCTCCTGTTACCTGTTCATTTGAACTTGTTCTGTATAATAAAATTATGTGATTTTTTTTTTTTTTTTTTTGACAGGGTGGACCAAGTAAACTAGTGCACTCAGCAGATGGGATGGAGGTAACTTGCTGCTAAGTACTGAGCTGAGGGTGGGATGTAATTTGCTGCTTTGAGGTCTTGCATGAGGAGAGTGCTCACTTGTATCTCCTGTTACCTGTTCATTTGAACTTGTTCTGTATAATAAAATTATGTGATTTTTTTTTTTTTTTTTTTGACAGGGTGGACCAAGTAAACTAGTGCAGAAGCACTTGTCTGGCTTGTTCAACAGCATTGCCTCTTTTTACCATCCTTCAAACAACGGGCGCTGGCTGGTGAGTGTTCTCCATGGCAAGGCAACAACTTGGGCTGTAATTCAGCACATCAACCTGTTGATCCATGTCCTGTGTGCTTCAACAGCCCTGTTGTCTGATGTGTGATGCTTGGAGATTTGAATTTTCAACATCTCTTATTGCACTGTCATTCAAACTATACTCATGTCAGCATTACAGCTAATGGGACTATTCTTCAAACATCTAACCCAAGTGCAGGTCAGAAGTCCAAACCAAGATATTTAACTCATATATAGCCAGGAAAAAGAAGTCTGTACTTGAAAGGAGGGTGATACACAGCACCAGTATTACTTGTGTGGTGTCGCTTTTGTGATACTAACCTATTGTCTCCCAAGTTACTAGAATTTAGGCTGAGGCTTGGAGCAACCTGATCTAGGAGAGGTGTCTCTGCCCATGGCAGGAAGTTGGAACTGGATGATTTTTAAGATCCCTCCCAACCCAAACAATCCTATGACTCTCATAAACAATGCAAAAATTATTTTTAATGCATGTCTAGTTTGAAGCATAGCTTTTTCATGGTGTAACTAGTGGAATCTTCTGCTAGAGAATGTAAGAATCTCCCTGTGTTAGCTGGTAGAAAGGATGAAAACAGCAAGGCTGGTCACAGCAGTGTCAGAGGGGCTGAATTGTTCTGGAATAGGGTATTTGCTTTCACCTTAATGTGCAGAGAATGCTCTCAAATATGTCCTAACTGCTGTAAGTAATCTTGATTCTTTACTATGTCTTTTTTACTGATATTTTGGGAAATGAATATTTTGGGACAAATTGCTGACTTATTTTAGAGCTCTTCTGAGTTTTCCTTTATTGTGGTTGTGTAATTCCAATATATTTTCTTATTAGTGTCTGTGGTACACTGAGAGGTCAGATTGCTACCAAGTAACTGAACATGACATCTTGTGTGCTCCACAGAACAAACTGATGAAGCTGCTGCAGAGGTTACCTAGTAGTGTTGTCCGAAGGCTGCACCGAGAGCGCTACAAGAAAGTGACCTGGTTAACTCCTGTGCCTGAGAGTCACAAACTTACTGATCAGGATGTGACAGACTTTGTACAGTGCATCATCCAACCTGTTCTTCTGGCTATGTTCAGTAAAACTGGAAGCCTGGAGGCTGCTCAAGCCCTGCAGAACCTTGCACTGATGCGTCCTGAGTTAGTGATTCCACCTGTACTCGAGAAGTAAGTTTTGCAGGGACATTGCAACTTCCATGTTCCCTTCCCAGTAAATAAATAGAAACTGCTTTTCCTGTTCATTTATTGTTTAATTGATAAACATGATTGTTGTAATGATAAGCAATTTCCTTGCTGTGAGAGGAGCTGCTGATGCACTGAGCAATCACCTGAGTCAAGACAGTGAGAGAGGACTATTTTTTATTTTCATTAATTAGATTTGTGTTTTGGTTTTTAAACACCTGCAAATAGAATAGTTCTGGGAGCTGTTGTGATTTAGGGCAGTCAGTTCTCAGGTGGTTTCTGCTGGCATTTCTGTTAGTATTTTGTGTCAGCTGAAAAAGCAACTTTGCAACCTTTATTCATAAGCCACCTGGTATGTTCTCCCTGGTTTTCAGTTGGGCCAGATACATGTGGTGGTTGTGTAGCAATAAGCATGTATTTTATATGTCTGGTTTGTTCAGAATGCATTGCACTTAGAGATTGTTTAAAATCACTGCCATGGCAAGTCTTCATAAGCCAATCACCAGACTATGTGCTTGTGTGAAATACGTAGTTTGTTTCTAATGCCTTGGTGCCTGAAATTTCCAAAGTAAAATGTGACTCCTTCCTGTCCCAGGGAAAAGTTTTCCTCCTATCCCCTATCCACATTCTCTATGCAGCTTTTTGTACTTTAACAACACATGAAAAGAGCAGAGAAAGGAGTTTGTGTGCAAGAGCCCTTCCTGTGCTCCGCAGCTCACTGACTCACCTGTAAAACCTTGGTCAGTCTGCTCTTACGGGAAAACATTCTGAGGAAAGCAGTGCTGGGGATGACTGCTTTCTCTGTTTTGAGAGCAGACTCCATGTCTGCTCTGTAGTTTAGACTATCCCTGGTATGTTTGCCTTGGCTGCAGTTCCAAATTCATTTGGGTGAGTTGTGCTTTGGATGACGTAGGGCAGGGATAGCACTGTGACTCCTGTCCTGAACCATAGCTGCTTGGTAACAGTAGGAAGTGTGATGCAGTTGGTTAAAAAAGCATAAAAATCATAGTATCTTCACAGGTTTTGATAAAGAAGGTCTGGACTTTAATGTAACTTGAAGTAGTAGATCTCCTCACATGAAATAATAGGTCCCTTCTTTATTTAGAGTTAGTCAGGGCAAGTTTTGGTGCTTGCCACAGAAACATGAAGTCCTCAGCTTAAAGTTCAAACAGGAAGACCATCATAGCTTTGAACATAGGAGCACATCTAGTTATTACCTCCTGTGCTGCAGCTGCTAACAAATCATTTAGTCCTGAATGGGTGGTGGATAGCACTGATCAAATGCAAGGAGCATTTTCTACAGAACTATTCTAAGTCAATTGGAAAATGATGAGAAAAACACTTTGAAACTATTGATCAGCTTGAATTTTCATTGCAGGATTTTTTTGCCCTTTCTGCAGAAAATAAGATGTGCAATCCATGTCTAGACTTCAGAAATACTCTTGTTCCTAATCTGATTACTCTTAAATTTCATAGAACATATCCTGCACTTGAGACACTGACAGAACCTCATCAGCTCACAGCTACCTTGAGCTGTGTCATTGGAGTAGCTCGTAGCCTGGTGTCTGGGGGGAAGTGGTTTCCTGAAGGTCCAACTCATATGCTACCTCTGCTGATGAGAGCCTTGCCTGGTGTGGATCCCAATGACTTCAGCAAGTGTATGGTGAGTGTAAAATCTTACCTTTGTTTAGAAGATCATTACCCAACTAGTTCACTCTAGAAGCTTGCTTTATATATACATGAAAGCTGCTAACTCATGTGTCCAGAAGTTCTTAGCCTGTTTTTTCCTGCACAATTTTATTTATAAAAAGTTAGTATTACAAACCCCTAACTTAGGATAATGCTTGAACAATGCAAAGTTAAGCTTTAACAACAGGCTGTGATCAGCATTTTAGTGACTTCTTGGGCAGCTCTGGAAACCATAGATGAAAACCAAGCTTAAATAGGTGCTCCAGAGCTCCTAGTCTAAGACCAAAAGGAAGACCTTTATCACTAGGTTTTCATTAAATTAGGTTCTAAAAGGAGTTCTTCAGGAATTTGTATTAATTGAACTGAAAAAATGTAAACAATACAGTGTTTTTGTAACTTAAATTGCAGTACAAAATAATGGTTACTTAGAAAATTGAGGATTTTGGTACAGTGCTGACTAGTAAGCTTTGTATATGAAATCTGAAATAACTATTGAACTTTAGGAGTGGAAGAATGGGGCTCTGGAATTTTTTGTGGTATAGTGATTTGCTTTAGCTCCCATAGCTTAATTGCAAAAGCTTTTTAATGTGTAGAATACAGTAACACTTATTAAAGAGCTGTTTGCAACTCTCAACAGATTACATTCCAGTTCATTGCAACATTTTCTACTTTGGTGCCTTTAGTAGATTGTTCATCTGTATTGCAAGAAAGAGATGATCTTTCAGAGGTAAGAGTGCTCTCAAGCTATACAAAGCTATAACCTAGCTGTCAGTTTAATTTCTAGCAGAATAGCAGCAGGTTTGCTACTGTTATATATGTAAAATTAGGCAAACTAAAATGCAACAAAACCCCCAAGATGTGAATCATGTCGGTGGCTGGTCAGTGTGGTAGAGCTGATACCAGTGTGCAAACTGGCTTTGGATTCTTAGTGATGCTTCTTAGTCATAGCTTGTAGTAGAGATAGTGTTAAATTCAAGCAGGTTAATGTTTTTATGTCAAAACTCAGTTGCTCAAGACCCTCTGTGGTGTCTCTGAGCTTTCCCTGCTTTGAGAAGGAGATTGGACTACACTGTCTCCATCTAAATTTTTCTGAGTCTGTTAAAATAGCAGCTTTAGTGCCATTAATTTTTTGAAAGTTCTTGTCACCATGAAGGTAACAAAAGAACACACACCCCCAACTTTGTAGTTAATTTTCAAAAAATTACAGCACTATTTAACATTTCAGGGCTGTTTTCCTCCTAAATGAACAGGTATTCCGCTTTCAAAGTGTTCCTGCAGTCATGCTCCTCTTTCCTGGTTAAGATTTTGTTGCTTTCTTGTCAGATGCTTGTTAAACCCTTCCAATCAAGAGATAGCATCATTAAACAGTGAGGCTCATGCCCCTCTGCTGTGCTTTGTCTTTAGGTGCCACTTTGTTATTGAACACGGTCACCCACATGTATGTTGCCTGAAGACTCTTCTTGTAGCTCAGAGAACAGTTGGGAGCTTCAGGTTGTACAGGTTAGAAGGTGAATTGCAAATGAAGAGGAGTTTGTACACTGGGTGTTTAGTGTGCATATATGTCAGCAGAGCCAAGTCTGTCACTGCCACTGGCAGTTGCTGACCTCCGGCTGCAAAGCAGGATCAGTAGTAAAGCCAAAGGTTGTATCCATGGAGGCAGACCTGATTTCACCCAGAGAGGTCGTTTGGCTACACGTTCAGGCCAGAAAATTGGACAGGACAGTGTATAGAACATGGAGTAATTGTTTCATGAAGTTGACTTGAGACTATTCAACAGGAAATGTGCTGTGATCTGTTCTCATTTAAACATTGCAAGTGTTGTTGAAGTAGTTAATAGAGGAAAAAACTTTATATCAGGTTTTCTTGAGAAAAGCCAACCTTGTCTGTTTCTTCTTTGTTGGAAAACTGTAGGTGGAAAGAGAGCTGTGCTCTGCAACCGCTGAATTTGAGGATTTTGTGCTGCAGTTTATGGACAGGTAAGTAAACTGTGGATAGGTGAAAGCTTGACATGAAGAGCTCTGTAAAACTCTGAAGTTTCACTTACTAACTTCATACTTACTACATTTGTGTAGATGTTTTGGACTTATAGAGAGCAGCACACTAGAACAAACCAGAGAGGAGACTGAAACTGAGAAAATGACTCATCTGGAGAGTCTAGTGGAATTAGGTCTCTCTTCTACTTTCAGTACAATCCTTACTCAGTGTTCAAAGGACATCTTTAAGGTATGTAGAAAATGAGATTTGCATCTGATTTAAGCAGCTTAATTTGCTGTTCTGAGTTACTAATACCTTCAGATTCTACCTTCCTTTGTTGTCCTGTTGTGAACTTTCACATTTAACCAAGGAAATTGCTTAGGGGGAGCTTAACTTGATGTCAGTTTGTGATTTTACATATATCAATACAGAGCTCTTGGGTTCTTTGTGCTCTCTCGAAAACTGACGGTAAACCTGAGGAGGAATCATTCCAACAGCTTATTTTATCCCTGGAGTGTTTTAGTTTGTGACTTTTCATATCTTTGTGGTACTGCTGACCAACCCAATCCCCTGCTTTCCTTTTCTCCTTTTCCCTACCACTTCTCCAGCTGGACAAAAGAAGCTGCTCAAGGAGCTGTGTGTCTAATGGGATCAGAAAACTGATCTGGATTAAAACAGTTCTCAGGGAGGGGGTGGAGAATCTGTATTGCTCCATGGACAGATTAATTTCCTGTAGGCTTGGTTAACACATTCCAATTTGTTTATGTCCCATTATGGATGTATTTGGAGATGCCAAGTTTGGTACATTTTGATCCACTGCATTGGGCACTTTGGTAGAGTTTTGTCTGGAATTTGTTGATTAATGTCTGAAGTTAATTCTTGGTTGTCATTAAGTATTTAGTTTGTATTTTTCCTGATTGTTCGTTATTAGTTACCAAGTGATCTGCACTGTATAGATCAGCTTGCCTTGTGAGGTGTTTGATGGAAATAAGCTGCTTTAAAACATGCTGGTTACTTAAATGGTTGCTGCTTAATTCCTTATGTATTTGTTACTCAGGGATGTCTTGGCTTTCCTTCACTGTGATGTGTGGAATAACAGTTTTCCCTTGAGCAGGCTGTGACTTATTCAAGGAAAAATGGTTTTCTGTGCAGTTTCACAGAACACCCCAAACTTAGATTAGTCAACCACATTTCTCCACCTCCTCTCTCCCCAAAGGGAACATTTTAGGCATTTTACAGAACTTACCTCTCTCTTCTGATATATTTTTTTTATGCAAATCATGGTTGCAACCTTCTGTTTTAAACAGAACACAAGATTGTTATGTACACATGCTGCATTTAGGATATCTAGTTTTCTTGATTAAAAGATTACCCTCCATGTCTTTGTACTCATTTTTAGGTTGCCTTGGAGAAGGTTTTTAACTTTGCAGTCTCAAATATATTTGAGACGAGAGTTGCTGGTCGGATGGTTGCTGACATGTGCCGAGCTGCAGTGAAGGTTAGAGAAAATGCCCTAACTTCACCTCATCTTTAGTTTAAAACAGAAAAAAAAGCCAATGCTGCTACTTTTTCCTAATCAAGATCTTTATTTTTTTGCTGTAAATACGGATGGTTCTGAATATTACGTCTTCTAAAATTGACTGATTTCATATAGCAATATTCCAAGAGGGTAGATCATCAAGTATTTATGTTTAAATTTAGGCTTTATTGAATGTTTGAGAATCATGAAGTCAGGCTGACTCTGGATTGAATTGCAGTTGAGATACAATATAGTCTCCTCTGTTTCTCAGTGAGGTTGTTAGGTGTTTATCCATGTGCATACTGAGTTCTCTAAGGCATCATTTTCTAACATGGACTATTTATGTTGCTGTTTCCAGTGCCGTCCTGAGGAGTCTTTGAAGCTGTTTGTACCACATTGCTGCAACGTTATAACTCACCTCACAGTTAGTAAGTTTATAATATAACATATCTAGTGTTACTTGCTTTGTTTAGGGTTGATTTTGGTTAAATGTGAAAACAATTTGTAAAACCTCCATGTGTCTTCCACAACTTCATTTCAAGGCAGAAATCTGTCAAGCTGCAGGATCAAGATTCCCTAAAAATGCGGTAGTTAAAAAAGTCTCCAGACATTCCTCAATGTTCTGGTGTTAAATTGGCTGAAGTGGCTTCCAGTTAGACATGGGAGTTGGAAAGTTGCAGCAGGAGGGTTGGGAGTCAACTTTTGGGGTGGAAGCATCTGGTTTCTGATGGAGCTTGTTTGGAAAACTTGGCTGCAGTGTGGTTACTGCAGTGCTTATCCCTTGTTCCTCTAGATGATGATGTGTTACGTGATGAAGAACTTGATAAGGAGCTGCTTTGGAATCTTCAACTGTTGTCAGAGGTATTGCAAAGAATGGGCTTGTATGTCACTGAGTCTTGTTTAATGCCCCTGAAAGAAGAAGGAGATAAACTTCTGTTCTTAAACCTCATTAAATGTTGTAGGAATGACACTGCATAGCTTCTGTTTCCTACCTCACTTGGAATGGGACATGAGTGTTGAAGCTCTTTGTAGAAAATACTTGTTTGAAGAAAATAAACATTTAGTGTGCATGTGGAATGAAATGAAAGCATTTAATACAATTATTGAGGGAGGAAGAAAGAAGAGGGATCGGTGCAGGGGAAAACATAAGGTGCTTTGGGTAAAGAGAAGTATTTTAAATTAATCAGAAATGTGTAGGAGTATTGCTGGGAGATTTTGAACAGGGTTGAGGAGATGGATATCAGAGGAGTTCCATATTCCTTAACTTTTCCAACAGCTGTGGCAGTAGCAGTTTGTGTGCAAGTTCAGCCTTGAAGTTGAATTCAGTGTGACACAGAGAATGGTGCAGGCTTGGCTGAGCACCGAGATCTCTCCATAATCCTCTGCAACAAAACTGATGGTGTGAAATGTTTCTCAACCAAACTGATGATGCGAAATGTATCTCTCTCCCCTTAGATCACTCGAGTGGATGGAAAGCAGCTGCTAGTGTACAGGGAGCAGTTTGGGAAGATACTGCAGCGAACCCTCCATCTAACCTGTAAGCAGGGTTACATTCTGTCTTGTAACCTACTGCACCACCTTCTTCGTTCTGCTACACTTATCTACCCCACAGAGTACTGCAGTGTGCCAGGTGGCTTTGACAAGCCTCTTTCTGAATACTTTCCTATCAAGGCAAGGATTTTCATTTACTTAGGATTAGAGGATTTGACTTTTTTTTTTTAATTAAAACAGTCATACACTATATTAGTTGGGTTTGTTTGGATTTCTGAACCGAGGTAGCAGCAATGGAAAGTGTAATTGAAAGATGTTTTGGGCTTTGAACCATAGAGCAAATGACAAGTTAATTAAACTTATATTGATGACAAAAAATGAGTACTGACTGTTGGAGTGGGTTTATAGCATGAGTTATTAGTGGTTTGATGTGTGTTTACCATGATTGCATGACTACAATAAGGTATTATGGAACAAGGAGATGTGTTTTACAGGTCAGCAGAGTAACAAGTGAACAACGTTCCAACCTTGAGAGAAAACGAAAGCAGAAGTAGCAATATTAAAAATAAATAAAACTGTCAGAAGCCATGTACTTGTCTGCTAAGACTTTGACATCAATTTATCAGTATTCTAGATGAACAGTGCAGCAGTTTCCAGCTGGTCTGTTTGAATATGCAACTGGATTTTGCTGGAAATTGTTCTTTTACATAATTTCCCCATCACAGATCATCCTGTACTTGTTATGGAAATTAGTACCGTTTTATATCTGATACATATATCCAGTTGGATCGGTTAATCATTTCAAACCAAACAAAAACATCTTAATGCCCCAACACCAAAGCAAACAAACAAAAAAAGAAATCCACATTTTTAAACAAATTCCTCCTCTGATACTGAAAACATTCGGAATTACTTCTCTGTTCTCTGTAGGAGTGTCAAGTCTGAGTTGCACTTAATGTGCCTTAGTTGGTATCCAGTCAAAGGCATAATCAAGTTATATTTCCATTAGACCAGTGCAGTCCTTTTCATTTTAGTGCTTTCAGATATGTTATTTTCCAGGTATGTGCAGACATTGTACTAGGTTTGGGATTTCTGTTTGCCTTTATGGTGTTCTTATTTTTCCTGGAATGATCAGGATAACGGCTCTACAGCAGTAACTAGTTCACATGTTTGTGGGTTTTTTTAGCAATATTAAATGTTAATTTTTAAAACCACTTTGTTTAATAGCTTGATTAATGATAAATGTCTTTATTTGCTGTAGGACTGGGGTAAACCAGGGGACCTGTGGAACTTGGACATCCAGTGGCATGTTCCTTCAGCCGAGGAAATAAACTTTGCTTTTTATTTGCTGGATACTTTCCTTCAGCCTGAGCTCAGCAAACTGGAGCACTATGCACTTGGAGAACTAGAGATGTCCAGGTAAGATGGAAAAAGGTGCATTGATGCACTCACAATAGTTATTGCTAATCATATTGGCACTACCAAAATTAAGAAGGAAAATACTGTCAGGTTCTTCTGTCTGACCAAGTCACTGAAAATAGAAGCTCCTTCTTTAGCTAAGATAACTTGAAAAGGAAGTCCTTAATTCTCTAAAGTGACACAGAAAAAAAGTTGTTCACATTGTTGCATTATAATTTTTGGACTGCAAAATATTCCTTCATAAACTATTCCATCATGTAGTATTCCCTCATGCTCCCCATGGTGGGAAGGAATTTTCTCGGCCTTAGGGTGAGGAGTTATTTCATAGGCTTTATCTGAGATTTAGATAAAAATTTTCAAACAATTTTTCAGGGTTAAAGCTGTTTCTTTTTATGATAGTTTATCTCCTTATACTGAAGTTATCTGCACAGTTTGGGAATATAAACTCTCTCAAGTTTTCCAGAAAATGAAGTTAAATGTTGAGGTTCTCTAAGCAGATTAGGTTGGACCAAAAAAGCACAGTTTGATTTCTGTAGAGCTCCCTCCTGGGTTTATAATTGATGAAACTAAAGAAAAAGCTTTCATAAAACTTGCCAAAAAAAGATATGGTTTATCGTTTGTGTTTTGAAGCATTTACCAGATAAGTAACCAGGTTTTCTTCTTTGTTTAAGAGATGATGTGCAGCAGTGTCTTGCTATTGTGCATAACTGCCTGATTGGTTCTGGGAACATTCTGCCTCCTCTGAAAGGAGAAAGAGTGGCTCATCTGTAAGTGAAATTTACTTCTATATCCCAAACATTCTTGATTATATCACTTCATACTGGTTTTTAGTGCTTACTTACTGCTTTAGTCAAACAACTGCTGCTAGAGGCTACTTGTAATGAGCTCTCATGGTAATAGCAAGATACAGCAATTTGAAATTGTGACTTACAAACACATTTGTGTGCTTAAAGCATCAAAGATTGTTCAGGGCTTTCTTCGTGCAAGACTGAAAATGTTCGTCCTTCAAAGCAGAAGGATTTTTTTTGTTGGGTGCCTTGAACTTCAAAATCCAAGGCTGTCTTGGCTCAAGAAGCCTTTAACAGCACCAAAGCCTCCACTTGTTGCAGCTGGAGTAATCTATTAGTAGATTAATCTGTTCATCAAGGAGGAAATACAAATCAAGAATTTGTACCCATATCTAGGCTGAGGGTCAGTAACTGAAACTTCATTTGGTAGAATAAAGAACTACCACATGTGAAGTGTTCTTTGTACTGGTTTGGTTTTGTTGTGGGATGTTTAGAATCATCTTTTTGTATTGTTAGGCAAGGTCTGTAAATTTTTAATATGCAGATTAAGACATCAGCCAATAATCAGCTTCTAAATTACTTTGGATGATTTGCTTCATTCTCTTAGTTTTCTGTGTGGCCTTATTAAATATAGACAACTTACATGAGAACATACTGGCATGAAATTTAACTTGTTAAAATGAATTAGTTGCCTGTGAAATGCACACACTTCATGAGTTCTGTGATGTATAGTAACACTTGGTTTGTTTCCATGTAGGGTCCCAAGTCTGGTGTCTTTGGAAGAGACAAAACTCTACACTGGGGTTGAATATGGTAAGTGCATCCTGGTTCTGTTCAGGCAGGTTCTGAGTGGTGGGGTTTTTTTCTCTTTGCTTCTTCCTATTCTTTTTCTTTTTTTTTTTTCTTTTTTTTTTTGTAAAAACAGTGGGCTCTTTTTGAGACCGTAATTTTGATTCCTCTCTTTGTATTAAATGGGCTTTTTTTGGCCAACACCAAAGTTGTGTACACGTGTGTATATCATCATATCCAGCAATGATACACAAGTTACAGACCTGCTGCAGGAATATGCCCAAGGTTGGGAGCTTAATGTGTCCCTTAATTTCCATATGGTAAATAATCTGTCTCAGTCTGTGGTTAGAAATTGAACATACTGTGAAGGCAGATAAAGAAGGTTATGTACCTATAAAAACCAACTTGACTTGAACCACTGAGTGATGTCTTCATATATAACAAGACGGTTGTTTTTATCATAGTCCTTGCTGCCAGTTCTGAGTAGCCTGCTCTGGCTTTCCACTCTAAATTGCTTTTTATGCCATTGTATAATAAAGGGAGAATGTTTCATTTTCTTCCAGATTTTTCAAGAGAGAATTATAGAGAAACAATTGCAAGGGTTACGAGGAAATTGCTATGTAAGTTCAGCCACTCCTGTAGCTAAAAAGTACCATGTCATGCTTTAAATGTGATACAAAGATGAGAAGTGTGTTTTATTTACTTCTAGTTCTTAGATTTAAGCTTTGCAGAAATAAAACTTTCGTTAATTTTAAGCGTGTTTTCCTGTCTGATGATAACTTCTATTTCTACCAATTACAGGTTACATTCTTGATAATTCAGAAGATGACACCAAGTCTTTATTTCTAATAATAAAGGTAAACTTCTAATTTGCAATAATTAAGGCAAGATGACTAGTTCTGCAAAATAATCACTCTGGTCCTCTTTTTCCTTCCACAGATTATCAGTGATGTTTTGCAGTTTCAAGGTTCTCACAAGCATGAGTTTGACTCACGCTGGAAAAGCTTTAATTTAGTGAAAAAGTCAATGGAGAACAGGGTCAGTGAATTTGCTTTGTAAAGTTTGGGCGAGGGATGGAAACGGTTCCTAAATAGTGAAATCTAAACCCAGTGATGTATTTTTTTCACAGCTTCAAGGAAAGAAACAGCATATCAGAGCCTTGCTGATCGACAGGGTCATGTTGCAGCATGAGGTAATACTTCCCCTTCAATCCTCACTAACTACTTAGCTTTAACAACTGATTTGCATAGTTTGCTAAATGCCAGCATAACAATAATCCTGCACTACTGTTTTTCTATGTGTGAAATGTAGAAACAATCTGTTCTGTATTTGTATTCTGTATTAATTTAGCTGAGAACACTAACCATGGAAGGCTGTGAATATAAAACTTCCCACCAGGAGCTGATCAGAGATCTTTTGTGCTTGTCCACGAGTTCATATGGTCAGGTAAGGAACAACCCCTTTTAAACTGAAATATGTGGAGTGTTTTGTTCATCTCCTCAAGAGGTGGTGTTCTACATCTTTTATTCTAGCTGTTCGCTTTTCAAGTGATCTTGGGAAAAAATACTGTTTCTGGCAGCATAAAGAATTTCCTTTAACTTTGTCACTGTTCTCAAATAAATGCCAGATACAAGAAGTAGCTTTTTATAAACAGCTGTGAGCAAAGACGAGGTGCTTGCAACCTTCTACAAATCATTTTGTTCCTGTGCACAAGTAGTTGAAATGGATGAGGATGTTGGTTCTGTGTGGTTGATGTCTTGTTTCACAAGATTTTCTAGCAATGTGTCTCTTCCTACAGGTCAGAAGCAAAGCCCAGCAAGCATTCTTCACAGCTCTGGGAACATACAACTTCTGTTGCAGAGATATCATCCCCTTAGTGTTGGAGTTCTTGCGTCCTGACCGGCAAGATGTCACTCAGAAGCAATTTAAAGTACTGTCTCACCTCTTTTTGTGTCTGTCTTTGAAAGTGTTTTTCTAGGAGTATTTTTCATGGTGAGAGTGGGATTTGCTTGTTTATCAGTGTGATACTTCATGGCATATAGCTTATGCATGACTAGTGTGAGGGATTTTTTGTATTAGTTCTGTTGTCAAGAGAAATTCTGTGTTTATATATATTCCTTATCTCACTGTGTGATCATGTATTACCAAAGTGTGTGTTAACACCTATTTTTAAATCACAAAATGGAAATGGAGAAGCTACAGTCAAGGTGGTAAAACTTGTGAATCATGTCTATAAATCAGAAATCAGTCAGCCATTCTGTGGATAAATTAATTGGCAGGGCTTCCACTCTCACTAAATGAAGAGGATTCTGTGAAAAGTCTTTGCTGTTTTGAATGTTTAGAGGACATTTTAGCTCTTTGGTAATGTGCAGATGAGTTCTTCTGTGTGGGTGCATGCTTATGTCAATATCACACATGAACAGTGCTCTAACCTTCTAAAACTCCACATTTTATTTCTTAGGGTGCCTTATATTGTCTTCTTGGAAATCACAGTGGAGTGTGTTTGGCAAATCTTCATGATTGGGATTGCATTGCACAGACATGGCCAGCAATCGTCTCCTCTGGGCTTAGCAAAGCCATGTCATTGGAAAAACCATCCATAGTTAGACTCTTTGATGACCTGGCAGAAAAAATCCATAGGCAATATGAAACAATTGGATTGGATTTTGCAGTAAGTGACAGATTGTTTGGTGTTGACATCTTGGACTGTGAGAATGTTTGATAAAATAAATGCTCAGGACTGGTGTATATTGTCTGAGTTAGCGTTCTGATGCCAGTCATCAACTTTTATGCTTAATGAAATCCGAAAGTTGATACTTCTATTGATTTTAAAATAGAAAAAAACCCTATGTACTTGTAGAAATAATTCTGCTGTGTGAACACTAGAAGCTGTGTTCCCTACTTCAGACTTGTTTGCATGGACAGGGACATTCTCTACTCTGCTTATTTCAAAACAGAGATATTAAAAACTTGTAAGTTGATGCTCAGTCCCAAATCTTTGCCTTCTCTGTCAATAGGTTCCAGAAAAATGCATGGAGGTAGCTGTTATGCTGCAAAAGTCAGGACATCCAAGTTCAGACTTCCCAGGTCTTGTTTCAGAGGAAATTCAGTTGGGAATTCAGCGACAGAAGGAGAAAAATGCTGAGGCTCTGCGGTGAGTTCAGCTGTCCTCAGCGCCAGCTTGCACTCCCTCATGTTTACTGCACATTAACTGGCATGTTTGAAAGTGGCTGAAGTAAAAAATCCAGAATGTCTAAGGATTGGTGGGGTGGATCTTCTCTCCTGACTTGGCAGCCTCTGTCTTCTGCACTCTTCCTCACTCCCCTCCTTTTGTTGAAGAAGTTTTCCTCTATTTTCCATTGGATCCCTCAGTACCATTAGGTTGATGATTCCTTCTTTTTCCCTCAGAAACTATGAAAATTTGGTTAACATGCTGCTGGACTGTGTGGAACAAAGAAACCTGTAAGCTTTCCTTTTTGTACATGAGGGTGGTTTTGGGGTGGATTGGAGGTGACTACATGAATAAATAGCCATGGTGTCCAGGAGTGCAGTTAGCATGGGCTTGAATTCATTTTCCCTGGGAGCCTGATTTGTTAATACAAGGCATCATCACATCTTGGAGTTAGAGCTTTTTCCTTAATTACTTTGGCCTGTTACTATGGTTTCTGGGAAAAAAAGCTCTGATTCTGTCGAATACTGACATCCAAATAGATTTTAATTGGTACCATAATACTTGTGTTTAAAACTTAGAAAAAAATATCCCTACAGGTCGTATTTTACAGTGAAATGCCAAGATGAAAAAGGCACCATTAACTGAATGTCTGAGGTTTTTGTGTGTTCCCACAACACTGGAGGGTTCCCTAAATTACAGTTAAGTTTTTTGATTATAGCAGTGGCACAGAAAATGTTAGTTTAAATGTCTTTGCATCACCTTAATACATATAATAATTTCTGAGCAAAACCAGTGCATGCAACTGTGGTATTTCCACTCCGTTTTGAATATTGGATCTTCTTTTAGGCCCTGGAAGTTTGAGCACATAAGCATTGGCTTTCTGTCTCTGCTCCTGAGGGATGACAGGATACTGCCTGTCCGTGCCATCAAATTCTTTGTGCAGTGTCTCAACCATGATGCAATTGTAGTTCGAAAGGTAAACCCAAAAGAATTATTTCTTCTTGGTTTGCAGCTATTTGACTTTTAGATCAGGTGATTGTGGGGGTTTGCTGGGATAAAGCACAAAAGCTGAAGTGTAACTCCCTCCTCCTCTTCCAACCACACACACATAGACAAAATTCCTAATCCAAGACGATGACAGTCTTGGCAGTGCTGTAGCGTGACATATGTAAAGTGTGTAAACTGTGAAAATGTGGGATGTACCCATTCCTTCTTATTTATTTCATGGTTCTTTTTCAGAATTGCCTTTGCAGATGGCTCCTTTCCCCACCTGCAGATTGTTACTTGAAGTGTTTTATTTGTTCTGCTTGTTGCCTCAGTGAGGCTCAAAACTAACAGTTACAGACTTTTTTTTCCTCCAAAAAAGAATATTAAAACAATATTAAATTAAATTAAAATGATTCGTAGGAAGCCTTTACTGGGCAATAAACTAAGGCATGTCTTGTATCCCCTGAAATGTCCAGGATCACTTCTTAATGGGCATGACCAAGCTCACCCCAGTGTTGACTGGGTTTTGAGGGATGGTGAGATGATTAGCCACATCCTTCTGGAGGAGAAGTGTATGGAATGGATCCATTAATGCCCATTTCTTCCATGTAGGTGGCCATCTCTGCTGTGGCTGGGATTCTGAAGCAGCTTAAGAGAACACACAAGAAAGTGCCCATCTGCCCTTATGAAATAAGTAGGTTTTATTTAATATAAGAAATGTCTTGCATTTATCCTAAAAATGTTCTTAAAAGCTTTTCTGGTTAAATTAAATATGGAATTACAAACTTTACATTTCTCTCTGCTGGTTCATGTCCTAAGCAAATAGGTGTATTTGCCTCTCCTTTGCCCTTCCTTTCCTTTGTTCTCTCCCTTCTCTTCCCACCCCCCTCCCCTCCGGATTTGACTGGGGGGACTGAGACAGGAAAGCTCTTTAGAGTCTTTTAGTAAGTCATGATAACATTTGCTGAGAATGTAAATGACCAAGCTTGATAGAGTATAAATTTCTCTTGGACCAGGTGGAAGCCCAAAGCCTTCCAGCATCCAGGCTGGTGACAGACCGGATAACCAGTGGCTGCACTACAACAGTCAGAGCTTACCAAAGACTAAGGAAGCTTGGGAATCCTGTTGTTTTGTGGAGAAAACACACTGGGGATATTACACTTGGCCTAAGTGAGTAACACTAAGCATTAAGATAGGGTCGGGAGAGACAGCAGAGAAAAAAAAAGCCCTGTGGGAAGTCAAATAATTAATGAGGTTTAATTTGTTTAAATTGAGCTGTATTTTTGTCTTTAATATTCAGAACTATGACCGTTTATGCTCCAGTTGAGCATCAACCAAAGCTTGGGAGAAGGAGAGGTGAGCTGACAGAGGTAAGGGTTGCAGTTTTGTGGGGTTTTGATACTACTTCTCCTTGCTTTTTTACAATACTCCCCACAGATTATTGTGGGGATCTCTCTAAACCTAAATCCCCACAAGACACTTTAAACCATATTTTTCTACTTCTGCTTGTGTCATCATGCAAGAAGAAATTATCATTTTAATGTATAGCAGCTTTTCTGTCAGAGATTGTAGAATAATTGTATTAATGAGCACTTTTGTGCCCTTTCACATCATTACCAAAGTTGAGAATGAGATAATTAACAACAGGGGGAAGGACTGATTTGTGGGGGTTGTGCTACTGAAAGTCATTAATGAAAATAATCAGGAGTCTTGAAAAACATCAATATTCACTTTAAAGTGAGGAGGAAATGGATAACCAAAGCATGATTTTTGCCAAAAAAAGGAACAAAATTTAACCTAGGGCATGGCAGAGATTGGGATATCACTGTGACCACCTCACAGCTAATTCTTTTTTCTTATTCCTGTTCCAGGCAGAACAAATTATATATGATCACTTTTCTGATCCCAAGTTTGTGGAGCAGTTAATCAAATTTTTGTCTTTAGAAGACAGAAAAGGAAAGGACAAATTCAATCCTCGCAGATTTTGCCTCTTCAAGGTAACTCCAGTTCAATAACTAAATTGCTTCCATTTTGTAGACAATTACCTGAGTGTGGAAAAACCACAAGCTGCTGTTGCAAAATGTTGATTTTTAAAGCTGCACTGAGTAATCCTATTAATTCTCTCTTCTGGTTAACCACTTAGGGAAACATATTTAGAGCAGTATAATAGTCTGTGGGACACTGGTGCATATTTTTGTTAAAAAAGGCAGGGTAATTTCACTTTCTGCGTATTCAAATCTCAAACACTTCACAGTCTTACGTTGTTCGTAGGGAGACAGTGGTGTAGATAATTCCTGAAGACACTTTTCCCTCTTGTTTTCCAGGGCCTTTTCAGAAACTTTGATGATGCCTTCTTGCCTGTTCTTCAGCCCCACTTAGAGCAACTGGTTGCAGACTCCCATGAGAGCACCCAGAGATGTGTAGCTGAAATTATAGCTGGCTTAATAAGAGGTTCTAAACACTGGACCTTTGAGAAGGTGCTGAAATAGTATTTTTGAGTCATTCTTGCAAATTAAGGAGTAATTTTGACTTACCCAATGTGAAGTTGAGGGATTTTAATGTCACTCAGATGACACATTAGAAAGGACTGGAATCACTTCCTTAACAAAACAATTATAAAAAACATTTGAAAGTATCTGGGCTGGATTTGAGATCCTTAAATAGAAAAGTCTTGTGTTTTGCCTTTTTGCTGGGCAGGTGGAAAAACTTTGGAAGCTTCTCTGTCCATTGCTTCGAACAGCTTTATCCAACATCACAGTGGAAACATATAATGACTGGGGCACATGCATAGCAACCTCCTGTGTAAGTATAAAGCTATACCCACTATGGGCTAAGATTCCTGGAGTGAACTGGTGTGTGGGAAGCAGGGTCAGTGACAGGCCACAAGTGTCTTGGCTCAATAATTCTTTCAAATCACTCAGCAAAACTGTGGTTTTCAGCCAGTGTCCTGGCAACTGATTAGCAGAATTCAGACATGGTTATTCATATATGTCAAAAATAAAGCTAAAATTCCTTTTATTCTGATTGTATTTACCAAATAATTAAGACTGTGTATAGTTTAATTTGGTTTTCCTTCTATTGATGTTCATTGTGAAAAGATATTGAGTGCTGCACTTGCTTAATCTATTATAATTATATATACAACTATATATATAATTTATAAACCCAAGGGAAGCAAAGAAAATCTCTGTCAAAACTTGCCTTGTTTATACCTTATTTTATACATTATTTACGTTGTAAAAATCCCAAATTTGCTTATGTCTCTTCTCCCCATTCCTTTTCAGGAGAGCAGAGATCCTAGGAAACTGCACTGGTTGTTTGAATTGCTGTTGGAATCTCCATTGAGTGGTGAAGGAGGATCATTTGTAGATGCCTGGTAAAGTTGATTTAACTGTTTTATTGTGGCTTAATAAAGAAGGAAGAGCATGGATAAGGTGTATTGAGAGGATGCTGTGCCATCTGGCTTGTAGGGGCAGGGAACAAAGGCACTGCTTTTGCCAGTTAGCTTTCTCCACACACTGGCAGGTTCTTCATGATGATTTTAAAATCTAATTCAATCTAAATAAAAGAATGGGAAGGTTTGGAGCTGACATTACACCAGTACTGTTGTTTCACCATGTAATTTTTACCCATCCTTGCATGCAACTCCCTCAAAGGCGCTTCGGCGCATTGACACACGTGCACATTCCCAGACAAGGCTTGGGAAGGGACTAGGGAGGGGAGGAACCATTTTGTGTGACTAAAGCTAAGCTGTTCTGATTTCCAGCCGACTTTATGTGCTGCAAGGTGGCCTTGCCCAGCAGTAATGGAGAGTGCCAGAGCTGCTGCACAGATTGCTCAAGTACCTGGAACCCAAACTCACACAGGTTTACAAGAACGTCCGAGAGAGAATAGGAAGGTCAGTGTTCTTCTCTGCTGTTCTTGTGGGGTTTTAACTCTTCATTTTATTTAGGTATTTAGATATTTTATTAGGTATTTAGATACCCAGTTGAGTATCTAAATAATTACACTGAAAAGCATTAATACTGGTAAAATACATTAGATAAATTATTAACAGACTTGTTTCAGAAACTTCAGGTGACTTCTCTATCTTTGTCTTTGTATTCATAGAAACCCAGAGTGGTTTGGGTTGGAAGGACCTTAAAGGTCATCTCATTCCACCCCCCGCCATTGGCAGCGACACCTTCCACTAGCCCCTTGCTCCAAGCCCCATCCAGCCTGACCCTGAACACTTCCAGGGATGGGCCAGCCACAGCTGCTCTGCTCTGGACAGTGCCAGTGCCTCACCAATTTAGTGTTCATGGCCCATTATGTTTGTCAGATATCTCTAAAGCTCTTAAACCTCCCCCCTCTTCTCCCCCAAAAAAGCCCACAAAACCCCCACAACACCCACCTTGCATCCAAAAACTAGTAGCACAACCCAGAATTAGTGTGTCTAAGCCTTAATAAGCCATACACACACAAGAATCCTTGTGCCAGTGCCTCACCAATTTAGTGTTCATGGCCCATTATGTTTGTCAGATATCTCTAAAGCTCTTAAACCTCCCCCCTCTTCTCCCCCAAAAAAGCCCACAAAACCCCCACAACACCCACCTTGCATCCAAAAACTAGTAGCACAACCCAGAATTAGTGTGTCTAAGCCTTAATAAGCCATACACACACAAGAATCCTTTAGAGAGTGTTCTAGTGACTTAAAAACTAGTTGCAGATCATACAAACTAGTTGCACATCAGTTTGGAGGAGTGGAGGGTTGTACCTGAGTCATTGTCTAGTCCTGCTTGATTCAAATGCCTACAAAGGGTGGTTTGAAGAACGTTTGGTTTTAAGTAACTTGGAAGTGGGGAGGAAATTTTCTGTAAATATTAAACTTCCAAGGTCACCAAATTGATCTTGGATCACTTGTAGTTCACAGATCACTGTGTTGTCCAGACAGGAGTTGTGCTAACTGCGTGTTCTTGCTTTGTTTGCTTTTCTAGTGTGTTGACCTACATATTCATGATAGATGTTTCCTTGCCAAACACTGCCGCAACGAAATCTCCTCGTGTCCATGAATTTACTACCCGCATACTTGAACATCTTAAACCCCTCATGGAAGCAGATGAAGAAATTCAGAATCATGTTATGGAAGAGAATGGAGTTGGTGAACAAGATGAGAGAACTCAGGGCATTAAACTCTTGAAAACTAGTGAGTTCATGAGGTGAAGAATGAGAGGGGTTTTAGGATACTGTCTAGTTGCAGCTGCTTAATCTATTGAACAACACCTGATCTGTTGTTTTGGGGTTGAGATTTATAAAGTCACTTTAAGGGTCAATATGACCACTCTAATGTGCGAAAATCTCAAAGGGGAGTCTTGCAATAAATTTGGTCTGTAGCTTGCTTGGGGATTATTACTATTTCTTATGTTAATTGGTGGTTGTTTCTCCTTATATAAACCAGTTCTGAAGTGGCTGATGGCAAGTGCAGGACGGTCTTTCTCTACAGCTGTCACAGAGCAACTCGAACTGTTACCTTTATTTTTCAAGGTATATTCTTGCAGTTCTCCTTTATTGCTTTATCTAGATAATACTTTTTAAATCTAACATAATGAAAGTTACTTATTGACTTGTGTGTGTGTGTATGTATATGTATATATATGTGTGTA